GTCATCGGAGCTGTCAATAAAAACCCGCGTAACTCTGGCTCAATTACGATCTGGATACTATATTGGGTTCAAATTCTACCTATCGAAACTAGACCCCGACGTTTCTAATTTATGTCAAGCATGTGTAGGTTCCGCACATGACACCAACCACCTCTTCAAATGCCCACTCAACCCAACCTGATCCGACCTCGTCGAACCAGCACATTTCCTGGGGCTACCGTTAGTTGAGCTTGATTACAACGTTTGAGGGCTACAACAACAAGATCGCAGTAAACGCCTGCTTTGCCGAGAAGGCTTTTGACAAGCCTAAATGCTGCATATTTGGTATAGATCTATTGAAAAGGTATTGAGAAGTTAGAACTGCTTTAAAGAGAATTTAACAGGGCAACCAACTCAACTCACAATAGTCTTTCGAAAGACTTTCGTACGAAAATTGTCAATAAAAACTAAAAATTAAAAGAAAATTTAATTAAAAACGAAAAATGTAATTTAAAAAATAAACAAATATATATAAATTCCTTAAAACTAAATCAAATATTGAAAAATAAATATTTTTCTTTTTAAAATAATATAATCTAACAAATAAAATAAAATAGATTAAACCAATAAAAAAAATTATGAAAAGAGGGAATACTAAAATAAGTTCCTAAAATTAAATGAAATTAAAAAAGTTATATAGCAATCTTATCTAAGAATAAAAAGATATTTAACTTTAAAAATTATTATGAATAAAAGAAAAAATATGTTTCTAAAAATTTTATTAAATTTATACACATATATGTTTTTCTTTTTAGAACAATAAAAACTAAAAGTTAAAAGAAAATTTTATTAAACAAAAAAAAATGTATTTAAAAAAGGAAAATGAGATATAGTTAGTTCCTTAAAATTATTTTTCTTTTTAAGATAACTTCGTCTCGCCCAAAAAATTTTTTTGTTCCAACACTTTAGATTTTAATCGAAAAGCCTTTTTTTTAATTACATAATATAAGAATTGAAAAGTTAAATTAAAAAAGAAGAAAAATAGTTAACTTAAAATATAAGTTTTTAAAAATTAAGCCCAATTATTTTTTTAATAGTAGAATCCAAAAATTAAATTGAAAGCGGAAAAAATAAAAATAACATAATAAAATCTTTCTTAAATTCAAATCAAATTTACAAAAATATATATATATTTTTTTTTAAATAACGTAATCTAAAAATTAAAAGAAAAATGAATAAAAAAATAAAAAAAATATTAATTAAAACAATAAAATAAGTTCCCAAACATTAAATTAAATAAAACAAAAATATTTTCATAATTGTTTGGGTCAAATTCTTATTTATTATGTTTGCTTGCAATAAATATTGTACAAAACTCCCTGATGAAGACGCGAAAGCGTTGAAACGATTAGAAGGGAAAAAGGGAAATTTGATATTTTCGCTTTTAACTCTATCGGCCGAAGCAACTCCAACCCAGCAAACAAAAAAAAATATTTAATTTTTAAAATAAAAAAATTATAAATTAAATTAATTCGAAAAAGAAGAAAAAAATTTTAAAATATGTTTCTAAAAATGAGCCCAAATTATTTTCTTTATTGTTAAAATAATAAAATCTAAAATCTAAATTAAAAATGAAAAAACTACATTAAGAAAAAAGAAAAGTTTCTAAAAATCATATAAAATTTACAAAAAAAAATATTTTTCTTTTAAAAATAATGTAATCTAAAAATTCAAAAAAAAACTATATTAAAAAATTAGGAGTTTTAAATAAAAAAAGAAAATAAAAAAGTTCAAAAAATCAAATGGAAGAACAAATAATTTTTATAACCCTACAATCTAAAAAAATTTAAAAATAAAATTATCAAATAACTTAAAAGAAATTAAATGAATTAAAAAAAATGTAGTATTTTTATTTAAAACAGTAAAATCTAAATACTAAAGAAAATAAAATTACAAAAAGAAGAAAAAAAAATTAATCAAAAATAGAAGTTTCTACAAATTTCATATATTTTTTTCTTTTTAAAACAAAATCCAAGAATTAAATTAAAAAAGACAAAAAAATTAAGTTTCTAAAAATTAAATTTAATAAAAAAATATGTATGTATTTTTTAACAATAAAATCCTAAAATTCCAAGAATCTATTATAAATTAAAACGAAAGAAAAAATGTTGATCGCATTTTTATTCACCATAACCACTATCACACCCTGTTCTGAAATATTTCCAGTGCCTTAAAAACTGTGCAACTTTGTGAAGGAAGGTTTCAAACTTAGAAAAAATCTGTAGGCACTATGAAAGATACGGTTTCCAGAAAATGCACAAAAACTGTTTCCGTTTCCTTTTTCGAATCTAGGAAGCCAAATAAAATATCATTTTAATTGTATGAGAACTTTCAAATTTTTTACCTTTTCTTTATTTATTATATTATTTTAACTCTTCAGGAAACATTTTTTGTATATGCCGTGCGTCGGCATTTTTCAACTTCACGCATTAATGGCATTAGTACGTATGTAGGGGTCACGCCGTCAATATCAAATTATTTTTAAAAAATGTCCCGCCCTTATCGAACCCTTAACGATAATTTTTAATAAGTCTCTATCCAATAGGGAGTTTATTAACGATTGGAAAAAGGCCTCTATAACCCCAGTTTTTAAAAGTGGCAATAAGAATGATGTTAGCAATTATCGACCGATTTCGATTCTCAGTCCGTAGGTTGATATGCCCAAATCAACATGGATTCGTCAGTGGCCGGTCAACTGTATCCAATCTTGCAGTTTTCACTGCAGACTGCTTNATTCTCAGTCCGTAGCTTGATATGCCCAAATCAACATGGATTCGTCAGTGGCCGGTCAACTGTATCCAATCTTGCAGTTTTCACTGCAGACTGCTTTGCAGCCTTTCAGGATGGAGATCAGGTTGATGCGATCTATACTGACTTCTCTAAAGCCTTCGATAGAGTTTCCCATAAAATCTTAGTGGCTAAATTACCAGATATGGGCTTCCACTCCACTTTTTTGCAGTGGATTCGGTATTATTTAGATAACAANGTGGATTCGGTCTTATTTAGATAACAGACAGTGCGTAGTTGCCTTTGACAACGTATCTTCACAACCTTTCGTCGCGCAGTCAGGCGTCCCCCAGGGTAGCATACTGGGGCCTTTGCTATTTACATTATTTATTAATGATGTCAGCTCCTGCTTCCAAACTTCAAAATTCCTTTTGTACGCCGACGACCTTAAAATCTACTCTACGATTAGAAACTTGCATGACTCCTGCGCACTGCAACTTGAGCTTGATAAGCTTTACTCGTGGTGCACCCGAAATCGGCTTTTTCTGAATGTGAAGAAGTGTTTTCATTCCACATTCACTAGAAAATATAGCCCGTTACTAACTAGTTACAAAATTTCTGGCTCAACCCTCGATCATGTTACAGACTTCAAAGATCTTGGTGTATATTTTGATTCCAAACTTCGATTTACCACCCACGTCAACTATGTTGTTTCGAAATCGTACGCTATGCTTGCTTTTGTAAGACGTAACTGTTCAGCTTTCTCGGATCCATACACGCTCAAGATGCTATATACTTCATTAGTAAGATCTCGGATTGATTACGAGACCGTTTCACGTAACCCATATTAACCGTATAGAGCGAATCCAAAAAATATTTATTAAGTTTGCACTCCGTTCTTTAAACTTTACTGATCCTATACCTCCCTACGAATCCCGTTGTCAACTTTTATGCCTGAAAACTTTACAGTCCAGATCTTCCTTTCTCTCTTGAAGCTTTGTGTATAACCTGATAAATTATACAGTTGACTTCAATGCCCTACTGGAGAAACTAAACTTTTTANGCAGCTTTGTGTATAACCTGATAAATTATACAGTTGACTGCCCTGCCCTACTGGAGAAACTAAACTTCTTTATTCCTGCGCGGAATCTCCGACACGTCCCTCTGTTTTACACTGAGTTTCCTAAATTTGATTACCTTAAATTTGCTCCCATACCAAGAACTCTATCTGAATTAAATAATATTCCTAACTTCGACCCGTCCCTGTCGCCTGGAGCTGTCCGGAGCCTACTGTAGAATTATTTTAACTAANAATTGTTGAATATAATTGTTATAAAGGCCATAAAAATAACAAAAACATTTAGCTAATTACTTTAACTAGTTCCTAAGCAATTCCTTTATGTAGTCAGTAAGAAATTAATTGTTTCATATGACTTACAAATAAATAAATAAAATTAAGTACACATGTGGTTTTGTTTGTATGACGGCTGTTACAGGTGACGCCGTTAAGAATGCGTAATCACATTTGGCGCCGAAAGTAAACGGCTTTAATTTTGCTTGAAAGCACGATTGAGGGAATACAAAGGTTGCGCCGATCTCGGACCGCTATTCCTCTCTTAACGAACTTGACAGAATCGTTGTTTGCATGACGTCACACTTGTGCAACTTGTTTACGTTTTCCTTGCAACATTTTTTCTTCTTCTTCCATTCTTGCTCACGTTTTGGCATTTCTCTCTCGCAATTGCACCAGTGTGACGTCACACAAAAGTTATTCTCAAAAATCCTCTCTGATCGGCGCAATCTTGTATTCTATCATTCTTGGCTTGAAAGCCATTACTCGAAACAGGTTCACTTTTCTTCACAAGTCACTCTGAAATACTTCACTTTTGGTGTGTTTTCCCTTTTCTCGAAAATAGCAAACGGCAGCACTGGTATGCATACCCAGCTTTAAAACTGTTGGTTTCGCAGCAACAGTTTGAGCACCACTCGTTTCTCTTTAATCCCTCAGTTTCAAAGCAAAATAAATTTCACTCGCGTTGAGTTGGCAAGTGTTCTTTTAAACACTAACAAAATTCCTGATACCATATTGAAGCTTTTGATGAGGATTTCTTGTGTCTATATAACGCAATACTGCTATAAATGTTATGTTATTTAACGCAAAAAGGTATTTATTTGGATACCTTTGCCAGAAACGGCAGCACTGTTTGGGGCTGCCACAGAAGAATGCGATCAAAAGGGAATTCAGAAGAATTTAACTTGTCGTCTGTCAACGTCGTCGTCGGGTGTATGTAAACGCGGTCTGCGCCTGTCGCCTTTTTCTGCACAAGAAATTCTCCAGTAACATTACGCTCGGTAGTTTTATTAATAAATAAATGTATTTAATTTTCTGCTGTGTGTTATACAAATTATGTGTGAAAAGCAAAGTTCATAAATAGTAGCAAAAAAGCTGTGAAATTGACGAGCTGGCGCATAAATTGAAAGGAATAGAAAACGAGAAAAAACCTGCGTGCAGAAGAGAAGTGAAAAGATATTCCTTTGTGTCGCTGCTTGGAATTCGTCGGGTACTTGCCAGCGTGTTTTTGTGTGTGCGCGTTTATGTTAGCAAGCAGGAATTGGGGGAACTGAAAATAAAACCTAACAAAAATCAAGTGAACTTTCTGCTTATATGGCCATCAAGTGAGTGTTGGAGAAACAAAAACAAATTGCTGCATAGATTTGGTTTAAAAAATTCGTGATGATCATAGAAGGCAACAGTGTGCCGCTAACGAAAACATTCATTCACCTTTTGTAGTTGTTGTTCTTGAGGCTATAACCTTTTCTTGCACCCCCTCACACCAAGAGGACAAAGTATGTAGGTAGTTGTTGCTAAGAGACGTCTAACAACCCGTCCAGCCAGGCAAACGATGCTGCATTCCGCGGTGTGACTTCTGGCGATTTAGGACTATTGCGTTTGCACAGAACAATGAACGTTGGCATCGCTTTGGGTTAAGATATGCTAACTGCCCTGTGCACTGACTTCCTAGCGCTCACATGGAAAAGCATATATACATACATATCGCTGCCTTAATATAGAAAGAACCTATGTATCACATGTCGTAGGCCGGTGTTTTACTTTATTTAAGCGAATTGTGAGTTGGCTTTCCTTTACGGCAGGTGTTCTTTTGCTTACTGCATCGAATTGCATCTGGCCCTAAAGTTTGGTAGTTTTCTGTCTAGATTTTCGAACTACCAATTTCGAGCCATTCAGTCAACAAATAATCGAATCCTTTTTGATACAGCGTTCAATGGACCAAAATCATTTAACTTTCTGTATTTGTATTCCATGGAGAACTCGAAGATGTGTCAAAGACATCGTCCATGAAATACAAAAAACAAATCACATGGCAAATAAATCCAGAGGGGAACAACAAACGCGGAATATCTATGTTATATATAAGAAATATATATACCTACATACACTGCTGGCTATATATATATGTACTATATCGTCGTTTAAAGAACAAAACCGCGTAACTGACATTTGCTGGCGAAAATTGGATTTGCTCACACAAGCTCTTGGCTCAATCCCTATCCATTCGTCCTGAAACATACTTGTACTTTGTACTTTAAACGACGATATATGTACATATGTATGTATATACACATATCGCACACCGTCTTCAAAAGATTTACAACTCAAAATTATACGTTTGTCAGAAAATGCGAAAAACTATCTATTTCTTAGCATATAATCATATGGGCAATGGCGACATTACTTTAGGGTTTTATCAAATTGTAACACACTTTATAAAAGCTCGGTGTATATTTTTAGCGCATAATCTCAAATATGCCAAATTTAGAGTTGTTACTCTTTTGGAGACGATGTGCGATATGTATATCTGTATAAAAAACACACAATAGGCGAATGGACGAGACGACGAATAAGAAGATAGGAAAAATGCTCGAAATGAATTGAATTCGATACAACAAAAATAAGAACAAATACAGTAAAAGCAATAGCAGCAATAACAATTCCCAGATAGCACATGGGTCAGCGCGTTACTTTTCAACCGTAAGAGGGGTATATGATTTCCTTCGAGAACAAAACTTGACAGCTAGCGCAGAGAAGCGCAGCACGTTAGCAACAGCGTCATCACAGCGCCGCAACAACAAACGTGCATACACAAATAACAATTCGCTGAAATATGCCGATTCAGCCGGCGCTGGCAGCGACGTGGCGCACGAATGCCTTGTGCTGAGAACGAAAACAAACAGCAATAAGTTCACAATAGGCACTGCCAGATGGTAGCAATATTTTTTGGACTCATTTGTAGGATTGTAAGCTTGCGATGAGGATAAATTAATTAAACTATTATTTTCACCTCGTATAAAAGCCGTAAAAAGCCAACGTAATTGAAAAAGCTGAATGGAATATCTCTGGCTTAAAATTTTAGCAAATCGAAGTATTAAAGCCATCAGTTAAGCAGACTGTGGCCCTTATTATGAGTTGCATTCGATTTTCGATCTTCGCTGGTTTTCTTTCTTTTTGGCGGGTAGACACTAATTTTAAACAATTTAACAATTTCATGCAGTTTTAAAAAACACAAGCTCGAAAGGCTGCTTTTACTTGTGAAAGAAAATCCCAATACTCAGTTGGCATGATCTCTGAGAACAAATCATAGAGCTGTGGATAGTTTTAAAATATTTTAAATAGGTTCGGCTCACAAACGCCTTTTTAGTCAGTCGGAAGATTTTAGTAAATCTGTAGACAAATTTCTTAAATATATTTTATGTCAAAATATATTGTAAAGACTACACTTAAACTCTCTTAAACATTTACTACTCCTGGACAGTTCACTAAACTCTCATCCTCTGACGAATCGTTGAACCCCAGAACTTCGTTGGACTAACTTTTACCATGTTTTTATAAACTTGCTTTCTTTTTTATTTCATTTTAATTTGCATAAATTTACATAAATATGCATAAGCACACTATTTAGTTTGCTCGATTTGTAAGCAAAGCTTCTCAGCGGTGAAAAATATACTATTGTGAACAACATAAACGAGCGAAGTTCACAATAGCGCTATTCTTCATCGAATGGGCGCCATAATACCAAATGAAAATTCAGCACTTTCGACCACAGTCGAAGATCGAATGTAACTCATTCCCACGACAGCCGGTTCTACGTACCGGAATGACTCGGGTTTCACCCGACCAAGGGCTGTTGTTTCGGCGATCTAACCCCGTTTAGGTCGGCGAAGTATCTCAGAAGTTGTCCGTCCATAGGGCAACATTCACTACGCATTCTCCTACTCAGGGCTGGCATCGAGTCAAACCCTGGGCCAGAAATATACACCTGCTGTGTATGCCGAAGACGTTTACACCACAACTCCACCTCAGTCAAGTGTAATGCCTGCGAGGGGTGGAGTCACCTCAGGGTCTGCTCGGGACTACGGACACACAGACAGTGGACCACGTCGTACGTGGCCCCCTGTTGCTCAAA